CAGTTGTGTTACTGCTGAGCTACCATCTGGTCCATCAAAATAAATTTTATTGTTTACCTTCCATGAACCTCTTAGCTGTTCTGCTTAATTTTGTAGAGAGTGGGAACGGAAGATGTGAGAACAGATCAGACAGGAGGTGGTGGTAGCTATAGCCAGCTCCCAAGCCTTGGCCAGGATTTTGTTTAAGTTTTTTAATGAAAGAAGTAGGGGGGGGGATAAAAGAGAGAGAGGTATTTTGATAGGGTCATGAACTTCCTGCTCCAGCCTCCCAGCTAGGACCACAGGCACATGCCAAAATACCCAACCTGTATTAGGCTGGACCAGGAATCGAACCTTGGCCTCCCACGTGGCCTTAGCCATCACACAGCAGCCCCTCTCTTGCCTGTGCCACCATGGCTGGACCCCAGCTTTTTTAACAAAAAAAGTATATTTTTCTCATCAGGAAAAGAAAAACAGTATAATTAACTTAGAGAATCTAAAAAATAAATAAATAAATAAATAAATAAATAAATAAAAAAATACTAAAAACAAAAAACATTAGAAGACATCCTTTTACTTACAATTGAGAGTACTTTTTAAACTTAAAAATCACATTTTTTCCAATCACAAAACAATCCATATTCATTCATTTAACTTAGAAAATAGAGAAAAGGAAATGGAAGAAACAAACATCTGGCCCAGCCAGGTTAGTACATGCTGACTGATGCTGCTACTCAGCAGCCTGCGGCCACGTGGGAGACCAGGGTTCAATTCCCAGCCCACTCTCAAAGCTGGATGCAATGGAGCATACCTGTAGTCCCAGCTGAGAGAGGAGATCACGACATCTAATAAATAAATAGATTAAACATGTATAATGTCATTACCCAAAGGTAGCCTTTATAACCCTTCTATTAATTCTGTACCAAAATATTACACTATATATCCCATTTGTGACTTACTGCTTTCATATAACACTATTACTAGCATCCTTTGAAATCAATACAAATTGATCTAAAAATATCAGTTTAATGCATAATAGAATTGGAAGGATACATCATTTTAAAAATGTTAATCAAGCTCCTTTTATAGGATTTTTTAATTATTTCTATATATACTTCCATAAATAATTTTTTGAGGAATGCCCTTGAGCATTTGCCTGTGTGGCTGATCATTCTCACGTGTGGATAAATTTGTAAATGGAAGTTGCTGAGTCACTGGGTTTATATGCTATATTACCCTTCACATGGGTATACCAATTTTCATATGCACCAGTAGCGTGTAAGAGTATACCTTGTTTAGGGACCAGTAGATGGCTTAATGGTTACATTGCTGAACTCTCACCTAGTCAACAGCAGTTCAAGTCCTAGACCAGGCAGCTTATACTTAAAAATCACCCTCTAGGCATATGTGCAGCCAAAATCCTGAGAGGAGAATGAAGGGATTGCAGCATGGCCATCACCCTGGTGTGGGGGGCGATTTCTCACTTTCTGTCTCTCTGTCTCTCTCTTTCCAGCAAGTATACACACCCTACAACAAAAATCTCTCAGAAAAAAAAGAGCATACCTTGTCTAAACTTACGTTTGTTACTCACTAGCCAATAATGTTAACGATTTCCCACAGGCCCAGCATGGTGCAGGCAGTGAGAGTTCACTAAGTGATGTTGGAACCATCTGGGGAGCCCTGGGGTGCAGATTCCAGGTCAGTGCAGGAGCACCCTTAATCTTGGTTGGCTGAGTGGCTGGTAGAGGGTAATTTAGGGCATGATGAGACCCTGTCAAAGGTACGGCCACCGAAAAACAAAAAAGATTTCATCATAATTTTTGTTCGCCCTTTTTTCTCCTTATGGAATCATCTTCTCACTTTTCTATTAGAGCAGAGGTCCCCAATCTGCTGGTCCCTGACCTGTTGCCTGCACTCCCATCCCCACCCCAGGCCGTGTGGGGGTTGGAGGGGTTGGGGGGCCTGCAGACAAGTGAGGGAGGCTTCCTGGGTGACTGCCGCTACTCCCGCTGGCTCACGGTGGCCCCTAGGCTCCTCC